AGGGGTGCAGACGGGCACCAGAGCCTGTCCCATGACAGTCACAATGCAGCCATGAAAACAAAGAAAGCAGATTAGTGAGAATTTCTAAATAGTGTATTTTTCCCTTGTATTGTTTTTCTTTTTTTTCAAGAGGAGATGTTTTTATGAAAGAACTAAATTTTTACTAATATAGTAAATATTGTGATCTCGCACTCCAAGGAGTAGTATTTCTTGTTATAGTCCTAATTATTGGAGGATCCAACATGTCATTCAGCACATATTTATCAAATGTCTCCATAGAGCTTACAATTCAGTGAGAGAAATTTAAACACACAAGTAAGCTGTACTACATGTTAGAAGTTGATAAATATTCCTAATATGGACAAAAGCAAAGCAGAAAAGAGTTGGGGAGTGAAAGGTGGGGATAAAGAGGCTGTCATTTAAAACAGGTGGTCAGGAAAGTCCTCCCTGAGATGGTACGCTCGAGCAATAGCTTTGAGCAGAGGGAGGGAACCATGCAGATACTTGGGAGAGGATGTTCCAGGCAGAGGCAACAGCCAGAGCAAAGTCCCCGAGTGGAGGACCTGCCTGCTGAGTTCAAGAATAGGGGGAGACCAGGGTGGCAGAAGCAAAAGGGACCTGCGGGACATTGCAGGACACAAGGTCAGAGAGAGAGAGAGAGAGAGAGGCTACATCAGTACCAGGCTTTGGCTTCATTCTGAAAGAGATAAGAAGCGATTGGGGGATTTTGAGCAGAGGAGTGGTATGATCTGACTTCCATTTTAATTAATCCTCTCTGGCATGGAGACTATTTAGGAGCCATCAAAATAACTGAAGCAAGAGATGATGGTGGCTTAGACCTGGGTGCTAGCTGCAGAGGTAGGGCCAGGGGTTGAATTTTAATCTACTCTGAAAGTACAGCTGAGAAGATTTTCTGATGGACTAGATGTGGATGTGAAAAAGCGGAGAGAAGAAAGACTCCTGGGTTTTCTGCCCAAGCAACTGGAAGTGTGGAGCTGTCATTAACGGAGATGGCAGAAAATGAAGGCCTGTGGGAGGAGATGAGGGCTCGGTTTGGGCATGGAAGCTTGAGACGTCTACTGGGCATGCAAGAGGAGATATTTCCCAGTTGGATTTCTCTTTGTCTCTGTCTCTATACAGAGTTTGGGAGAGAAATCCAGGCTGTCGATACACATTTAAGAGTTACGTGTGCTTAGATGGTACCTATACCTATGGGAATGGATAAGCTCATTGAGAGAGTAGTGTGTATAATAAGATTACAGAAAATACCAGAAGCTAGACATTTTTTATGAGCACCACACTCTAACCAATTGAGCTAACCAGCCAGCCCTAGATGTTGTTTAAAAAGAGGTTAATGAAGTGAACTTAGTACAGAAATGATGTATAATATGGATAATTATTTACTCAGATACTTTAGGAAAACCAAAACTCAGAGTTTGCACGTGAGCTGGCAAACACAGTCTTGGAGCCGGCTCTCCACGAGCTGTATTACCATGTGGTCTAAGTTTGCCCAGGTTTGGTTGAGCTCCTGCAGCGTGTTCACCACAATGCTAGAGGCTTCTTCTTTCTTGTTCTGAATCAAAGCAAGTCCAGTCTGCTCGATTTTCTCTACTTCTTTTTCTTTTGCTTTAATCAAATCTTCCAGATCCTGAAAGATTTAAAAAATAGTCACTTAAAATTGTTCTATAGATGGAACTCTGGGGTGCACTGAAATTGAGCCATTATAATTTCATGTCCTAAAAACCTTTTACTAATTCAAAAAGCTTATCATTTTCAGAAGAGGGTCTCTACAGCAATTCTTCTTCCTATACTTAAATGTAAAAAAATGTCTTTTTATCCATGGGAAATTAGCATAACTTTAAAAAAAAGTAAAATTTGATTACCTTCTAGATATGGAAATGGCACCAAGTAATTTTTTCAAGGAGCTACAAAGAAAGAAATATATGCTGGAAACAGTAGTATGATTTATATTTTTAAATTCACGTATTTTAGTATTTGAAAAGCTACACAGCCTAGCCCAAAGGAAGAAATGTGAAAGAACAGTACTTTGGGCCCCAGTATTTGAGATTTAGTCACATTTCTGCTACTCTAAAGCTGTGTCACTTTGGGTGAGAAACTTCCATTGGGCCTCGGTTTCATCAGATGGGAAATCAGAAGATTGGAAAAGATAATCTCTATTATCCTCTCTTTCTCTCTAAAATGCTCTGATTCTATGTGATTCTGAAAGATAATAGGCTTTTCTCATGAGTCAAATCCTCATTTTCTTTGGGATGTGCATTTATAACTGTCAGCATGAAATGTTCAAGAAAGGAAATAAAATGAGAAAAAGATCTGGAGCTCATACTTAGCCATACATCATAATCCTAACATGTTTTAATGCCATTTGAAAATTTGTGAGGCTCAGTGAAGCAGGTTGAGATTGCTATCAACATTTTATAGATAAATAAATGGAAGATCAAGTCATCCCACCCGTCTTGGGTCACAGAACTGGTGAGGGACAGAGGAGGGATTGGAACCCAAGTCTTCTGAGACACTGCCTCCTAGCTCAGTACTGGAGGTGACTCAGCTGAACCTGGGGGGATGTATACCCCACATTAGGATAATATGATAAACTGGTACTAAGGTGTGGTTAGATCCTCATATTCAGAAGTACACTCCCAGAACTAAAAATAGATTTGGAATTTTAGCCCTAGAGGTTAGAGGGGATAAAATTCCAAAATATTTTAAGTTTGAATAATGTCTCACTTGTGTAAAAAAGATTTCACTCCCTCTCACAATCTATATATGTGAACTAATATTGGGTAGTGAGATAAGAAGTGCTCACGATCCCTGGGCTCAGGTTTCAGGACATACCTCTGGGTTAGAAGCCATTCCTCATGGTCTCAGGCCCCTTTGTTAGGCCCTCCTCTAGAGGAAAGTTACCATTGCTAATTAGACCTATTTTTGGCACCAACACAGGGAAAATGAGACCACAAGCAGCTGGCTTATGCAAACCCAGTGGCTGGACATGCTCAGTAGAGAGGGGTTATATAACTCTAGTAGCTGGGCAAGCTCAGTAACGTAGAGTTCATACTCTGAAGGACCTTCCACTAGAAGTGCTAGAGAGCACAAAATATTCTTGAATACCTAGAGGAAAGTTACCATTGCTAATTAGACCTATTTTTGGCACCAACACAGGGAAAATGAGACCACAAGCAGTTGGCTTATGCAAACCCAGTGGCTGGACATGCTCAGTAGAGAGGGGTTATATAACTCTAGTAGCTGGGCAAGCTCAGTAACGTGGAGTTCATACTCTGAAGGACCTTCCACTAGAAGTGCTAGAGAGCACAAAATATTCTTGAATATGTCTGGTACATGTGATAGAATTTGACCAATGAACATGCTCCAAAAGAAGACCACCTGAGCATGTGCAAGACTATGTTACATAATGAGGTACCACCACCCCCCTTAATTTAATATTCATTAGATGGCAAAACTATAGAAGTCAAATCCCAGCAGCAGAAGGTGGAGTGGTTGTTCACTTTCCTGGGGCCAACCTGCACCTCTCTGGTTGCGGTGTGTGTGCTTTACTGTTGTGTTAAGCTTACTTTTAGCACATGCCTGTTCACTCTCCTGAGCCAACCTGCACTCTGTACTGAACGTTAAGGGTGTATTTCTTGCTTTTGTGTTAGACTTGATGTGGGCTCTGCCCAACCTCTGGAGCTCGACTGCAGTCTCTCTGTGGAACCTGTATTTCTCATCTGTTACTTTAAACCTGTTCTCACTTTCTACTGTAACTCTGCTCTTGAATTCTTTCCTGTGGCACAGTCAAGAACCTGGTAAAAGGAAGAGGTGGGCTGAGGCTGCCTATCAGGCCCCCCAGATCCTACCTCTGACATCAGTAGTGTTGTTGATAAGGTGTTAATGAGGAGTCTAGTCTCTGCTATATTATTTACAAATTTTGTGCTTTTTAAAAATTATTTTTACCTCTTTTATTTGTGTTTCTGTTGTGGTTCAACCTTTTGGTTTCTTTTCTACCTCATTTATACAGTAGGGATAATAATAATTTTTTGCTTACCTCAAAGAAATAAAATTAGACAAATATGTATAAAATATCTTATAAGCTTGAAAAACTGGCCAAATGTAAGACACCCAGCCATTTCGTAATCTGCCATGCTTCATTGCAAATTTATTTATTTTTTCCTCCTGAATTATCATGAAACTATATTTGTCGTACTGTGTTAATCAGAAATTCATGTGTTTAGTAGCTTAAAGAGATCATTTTTGCTTTTCATATTGTTCTCTCATTTTCACTTTATAATTTTGTCAATATTTTGACAGCTTTGATAATTACCAGAAAATGAATATAGTGATTACTAGAGTTTCCGTTTTTTTATGCAGTATAGAAAACATAATTAACTTTACTATTTAAGGACTTTTCTCTCTACTTCTGTAAGAGATTAAGTAACCATAAATAATTCTTCCAATATATCTTTAATATGATTCTAAAATTCAACCATTAGAAATTGTTTATCCTCATTTATCCATAGATGTCAACTTTTTTCAGTGAGCAATACTAAACAGATGATCCATTGCTTAGAAACACATCTCAAAAATGCCCTGAACACGTATGATGGCATAAGATCAAAACCCAGGAGGGAAATAGGATTGAAATACATATTTTGTGCAAAATAAAGGTGGTTTCCCTTTCCTTTCAATAATAATTAAAAGATGATTCTGTTTCCGATAAATGAAGGGGAAAGCTAAACCTAACACTTTCATTATAATAAATCATTCCTAACTTGGGTTAATTCATAAATATCAGTTTTTAAGTTGGTTTAAATGAATGTCACTTCTAAAATATTGGAAAAATATTCAAGATTTTAAAAACAAAATAAAGCTTGAATCCAGTCACTGATTTAAGTATGCTCATTTGAATTTCACACTTTGGTCCAAAGGAAGAGATTTCTCAAAAATAATGATAAGTTTTATTAATGTTGGTAGTATCACCAAATAGAACCTGCCAGTTAGGCTATTGTGATTTAAATGTAACGTCTCAAAATAATTGTGTGGGCAACTTTCATTCTGCTTTTTGTTTCAAAAAATGACACTTTTCATTTGAAATCACAAATTGTCCTTGAAATAGAGTTCTTGAAACCACATGTTAAGCTTTTCTCCTAATGCTGCCTGACCTGACCCTCTGGTCTAAAACTTATGTCTAAAACTTAGGTCTAAAACTTAGATCCTAAAAGTAGTGAGACTTGGCCACGCTTCTGCTATATTTTCCAGATAGCAATGTGTTTCTCTGTTAAATAGAAGACATGCACAGGAAAAGAAACAAAATGGAAAATGGAAGAAAAAGGTACATTAAGAGAAGAAAAATAAGAAAGAGAAAAAAGAAAAGAAGGAAAGAAAAAAAAAGGAAATTATATTAATGTGGCATTTCAGTCTTTCCATAGTAAAGTTTATCACAATAATGCAATAAGGAAGCACTTATCTTGCTAATGCTAACACTTAGAACTTCCTTTTAACAGGTATATTAATGGAAATATTTTAACTTAGTTAAAATATAAGCTTAATATTTTAATACTTAGAATTTTAATTACCTTTTAACAGGTATATTAACAAAAATATTTTAACTTAGAAACTCAATAAAAGGTACGAGTTTTCTTCCTTCAAAGTAAAATTTTACAATTCTGGTTTATTTGTAGATTTTAGAATTTATAATCTAAATTAGAAATACTACTGGCCCCTAGAAAACTGGAAATATGTGTTTTTGGTCTTTAGTCTTTTACACATCTATCTTCTGATGTTAGGTATTTTATTATCATTATTATTATTATTATTATTACTTCAAGGTATTTTTCTATATGATGTTTTTCTTCATCATTTTTATGCAGTCTCAAAATCATGATCCATTAGCTGGGAAGCCCAGCACCAGGAGCATCTCTTCCCTTTTTCCAAACTAAAACGCTTTGATTGAGGACTTAAATGGATTCTTTTTTATATGTGCCCCAAACGGAAAAAAATGCTAGTCAGAAGGCAGATCATTACCAAGGTTCTTTTTATGTGAAATCTGGAATAGAAAGACAAAACTTGGGGAAGGGTGCTTTTCTGCAGAATTACTTCAAAGTCGAGTCTTCATGTCTTGGGAAACCTTACTTTAACAGAACAGTCATAACTAATCGGTAACATAGTACAAACGAGTGAGCATTACAGCATTAACTGTAAGAGCTTGCATTTCTTTTGTATAAGCAAGAATACCTGAGGAAAGATTATGTGTTCCTAAGTCACTGGAACATTTGGGATACGACCACTCCACCTAAACCCTTGATCCTCATCACTAACAATAGAACAAGCAGACTGTGTGCTTCCGGTGACAAAATAGGAAGTTAGCCCTGCCACCTGCAAAGCACTTGCTTGTGAGTTGGACAGGAATCCAGTCAAGCCTCTACTGTTACCTTCCATTTATAGAAAATACAGAGGAGAGAAGAGCAAGTTAAATGACATCATAAGGAAGTATACAGGCCAATCCTGGATAGGAGGCCAGTGGACAGTTTCTGCAACAAGTCAATAGGATTAAAAAAAACATTAAAGATACTTCAGAGATCTAACAAGCAAATGTAGCATGTGGACACTGAATCCTTATCTGAATAAATAAATTGAAAAGGACATTTTAAAGACAATTAAGGAAATATGATTATGGGTTGAGCATTAAATAATAGTAAGGAACTAATGTTAAATTTGTTGTGGTGATAATATTATGGTTGCATAAGAAAATGTCTATTTTTCAGAGATGTGTATTGTAGTACATGGGATTAAAATGACATGATGTTTGAGATTTACTATGAAATCAGGCAAATATGTAAAAATATTAAAAAGCTATTAAATCTGATGATCAGTATATGAGGTTCACAGCATTTTTCCCTACTTATGAGTGTGCTTGAAAATTTTCACATTTCACATTTTAAAAACAGTGAAAAAAACCTAATAGTTAAAGAAAACTCTATGAACTCATATAATCAGAAATTTTTTTACCAAGTACAACTTTTTAAAAAATATTTAACTCCCAACTCTCAGGGACTACAAACTCCTTGAGCATAGGCCACGAAACTGTGAAATGATGTATGGGAACCACGTGGACAGGTTACCTGACAGTCTTTCAGTGCATTCTGAACGGAAGCCTGATCTCCAATTCGATGTTGTTGTTTTAGCCTCTTTTCCTGGGTTTCAAACCAAGTTTTCAGATATTGTACATTATTTTCATATTCTGACCAAGATTCCAATAAGCCTTCCAACAACTGGATCTGAAAAAACATGATGAAATGAAATTTGGTATTTTTGTATTAAATCATTGGCAGGCTAATGATTCTGGCTGCTATATCCTTCAAATTAATAATTCTTAAAATATAGCCCATTGTACATACAATTTAAAAAATGGATTTTATGAAGTCTCAATCAAAGATTATTACTGGTAAGCAAGAAAGGACCCAAATTAATAATTCTTAAAATATAGCCCATTGTACATACGATTTAAAAAATGGATTTTATGAAGTCTCAATCAAAGATTATTACTGGTAAGCAAGAAAGGACTAAAGTCAACTTGAAGCAAAGGCAAAAGAAATTAAGAGGCATCTTTAAAAAACTGAAACAACATGAAATATACAAAAAATGGAGGGTACATTAGAGAAAATAATTAATAGGACTGAAGAAAGTTTAGAGCAATGTAAGCTTCGCTGGCATTGTTGAAACATTCTTAGCCTGGCACAGCTGTACTCCTTGTTAGATGAGTCTTCCTTAGAGTGCACCTGTTCTTGGGGTTTTCACATAAATATGGACAGCAGCGGTGGGCCAGTTTGCTTACCTTCTCAGTTACTAGACCTTGCAGGATTTGCCAACTTTTATTCATTGCTCCAAGTTGCTCAGCAAAATCAGTCTTATCGCTACGTTTACTTTCTACATCCTGACTGCTGATTTGTAGCACAGACTGGTTCACAAAATCGACTGTCAACTGTTTACAGTTAATGTCTATCTTAAAACCCTAACAAAAAGAGAGGAGAAAATAGTAAAACAAGGTCATACATATAAATGTCATTATTTTGTCAGCATTTGGAAAGTTTTAAGTAACCATAAGATTAATATTATGTCTTCCGTGACTTACTCCAAATGGCACAATTTGCGTGTAATCATATGACATGCTATTTTCCAAAGTTGAATATATATTTGCATATGTTTATACAAATTTATACACACACACATATATATATGTATTTAGAATATATATAGATTTATGATATATTTATATATAGGTAGAAGATATAGAACTGGACAAATTACATACCCTCATTATGAAATATTTATAAATGATAGCATGATTTTTTAAAATGACTCAAAATGATTCCTAATACTGGACAACTTTTCTGTGCCTATTACTAGAGGTGCAGTTATTCTGCTCTTAAATGTCCATCTGGTCATTGTGTATAGAACATACATCCTAAGATCTGATTTCTATCATTCAAATTTTAAAAATTTTTCTAATAAAATGGTCTAAAAATATGAAAATTCAAAAAATGTTAACTACCTTATATTTCTGAAGGTATTCATGAATTGCCTTGTAACCTATGGAATTTTTTATATCCTCTTCATCCTTTTGTATAACATTTTCCATTAGAGAAATCCAACTCATGACTTCAGAAATGGCACTGCGTGAAGGAAGCTTATCCATTTGAAGCTACCCAAATTAGAGATAGAAAAAGTACCAAGTGTTAAAATTCAATCCCAACTTCTATGAAATTAAAAACTCTACATTAATTCTTATTAATGTACCAACACAGATAACATTTCTTAATGACGTTTTTAGATCTTAACCCATAAAAACTTGAAATTAAACATCAAGCAAACCCTGAGCAATAATAGTCATTTCATGTTCACTTGACATCCAATACTACAAGCATTGTATAAACATTAACTAATTAATCAAAACACCAGCAAGAAGAAAATATTATTCTTATTTTATAGCTAGTTTTATGAGTTTAAAAAAATTTAACTACAAAACACTCAACAGATGTATTTTATTAATGATCTTGTAAAATCTCTGTGTATTATGACTCAGGAATGTTAAATGAAGAAAGAAAAATACCACACTACAGGCTATCATTTTCTAGATTTTTTGGCACTCTGATATTTATTCCTAAGACCATAGCCAATTTCCGTAGTCTTTAACTAAAGTATATTTATAATTCTGAATCTTACTTAATATAGCATTATTTATGCATTAATAAGTATTTATTATAAAGATTTGGAGGAACACAAGCAATCACTTAAAATGTTTATAGATTAACTTCTATGTGGTACTGAAAGATATAGAGATGAACGTGGATGGTTCCTTCCCTCTAGGAGTGTACAGCTACTGACGAGAAGAGAGAAGGCACATACATTAAACACAGCTATCATGCCTGATACACGGTGATGCATGTCAAAGACAGATAAAGATAAAATGTTCTGGGATTTCAGGGGAAGTAGATGTATTTCCAGATAAGAGGAGTACTTACATTTATTGAGTGCCAGTTACATAATATAATAGACACAACAGATGATAGGTCTTTTACATGTATTATGTCATAAATTTTCATAACCACTCACTTCATGAAGGAGGTATAATTGCCTACATTTTGCCCATGAGAAACAGAGTTTAAACAAGGCCAGACAAAGTTCCCAATGCATACACACATACACGTGTTAAAGAAGTCCTTGAAAGAAATGCCATCTGAGCAGGGCTTTGTAAAATAGTTCACTTTTAGTATGTAATACGATGGAAGAGAGAAAAAGCAAGGTATCTGAGACAAAACTCATTTAAACTTGTGAGCAAAAGCAGTTTAATGTACGTTTCCATTTAATATAGCTTAAATCAGGGGCCGGCCCCGTGGCGCACTGGATAAGTGCGCCGCTTGGGAAGCGCGGCGGCGCTCCCGCCCGAGGGTTCGGATCCCACATGCAGACCGGTTCCCGCTCACTGGCTGAGCGAGGCGCGTAATAACTTCGTATAGCATACATTATACGAAGTTATCG